CTCAACCAAACCCCACACCAAGCTGCCTGCAGAATGATGGTTACTCAAAGTCAAAAAGATTACAATTAAGAAATTACCCCATTCTTCAAACATATTTACCAACCTGCCATTATTGATTTGTCTGTATTTTGTAAGAGCCCGTTTGACCATGAAAAATATTTCACTTTTTCCGAAATCAGTGTTTGAACATAAAGTTTTCAATTTTCACTTGAAGACGAATTTTGAAATTTTTCAAAAATTTCAAAAACTTCAACAAATTATTTTCCAAAATTTTTGCTTGGATCATTCACAAAAATTCAAAAACAACCCAAAATTATATTTATGTCCAAATATAACTCTAATTTTCAAATACCATTTTCAGTTGAAAATATTTTTTACATTTTTTGAAATTTTACAATTCTTATGTCCAAACGCCCACTTAATCTTCCTAGCCGTTTTTCTCGTTTTTCATTCCAATGTTTCAAGGTAGTAAGTGCAAATCATTTGAAATGGCTTGAATAATACTAATTACCAATTCTCTTTTTTTTTTTAGTACTTCATATACTAATTAAGCTCACAATTCTCTTTCGCGCCATTTATTATGAAATCATTCAAAAAATAAATTTAAAATAGATACACATTCCCTAAACGAGGATTCCATTAAGTTGTTAAGCTATCTTTCATATAGAGGGTTGCCCTTTTAAAATTAGTCGAAATATGACCGATTAATGATATATTTATTCGAATGTTTTGTGGCTTTAATAATAATATAGGAGTAGATAACATTTTGAGTAGCTTATTTTGGTTGAAATAAGAACGTGGTAGAACTTAGGAGAATGAAAGTAAATCAGAGGGCAAGAACCCCATTTCCCTTCTTTTTTTTTAGTGAAAAATGATTAAATAGTAAGTAGCATTGAATCAAAAGAGAAGAAGTTAATATTTTCTTTTCACGTAATTTTTTTCTCAACCTCTCAAACTTGATGGTGAGAAAGTTGATTTGAAAGTTCACTCTCTCTATTATGATAATAATCTGCTGAATAATGTGAGCAGAATAATATGAGAAATATTAGAACAAATAAAGTTCACTCAACTATAATACTTATTTTAATAATGTCATATTGAGGAAATTAAAAGCTCCTAACAAAGTTAAGAACTTCATATGGCTTCTTGCCCAAAACAAGTTGCCTACTAGAGCCTACCTTCACATAATTGAGGTTAACTGTAACCCCCAATACTGCTTCTGTCAGAGAAATCAAGAAACAAGTGACCACATCTTTTTTGAATGTACAAATGCAACTCAATTCTGGCAGGAATTATTATTCAAGGCTTCTACTACAATTAGGCAGCTAAACCCCATTTCTCAGCCAACTATGACCATCAACATGGAACAAGCTTAAGAATACACTCTTTAACAGAAACATTCCTCGGGAGAATATCATTCTCTTATGTTTCTGGCACATTTGGCTAACTAGAAATCACAACCTCTTCAAGAACAAAAAAGATAGCATCAGCACCACCAACACCATCTCAAAAGCAACCGAATACTTTATGTTGGTGAAAAATGGCACCATCAAGAAGTCTTTCTAGACCAATATGAAACAGGAGAGGCCATTACAAACTGAACATGGATCGTGCTGCTAGGGGTAATCCAGGCATTGGAGGAATCGGTGGAGTATTCAGGAACTATAACGGGGATTGAATTATGGGGTATATAGAGAATATAGTACATACCACCAATACCATGCCTGAGCTGAAATCTCTCCTAAAAGGGCTACAACTAGCAGAGCAAAATGGGTGGATCCTTCTGGACATCAATACAGGCTCGGCTGAAATAATTCAAATGCTTCTTATAGGTAACTTAATATATGATCCTATGATTTGTGAATGCAGGTTTGTTAATGCAAAGGATGGACAAGGTGACGGTGATGCACACCTACAGAAAGTAGAATAGGGTGGCTGATGTACTGGCGAAAGAGGCAGCAAAGTCATGTTTTTTGGGACGAATCAGCATACTAGCAGTTCCTCTGATGTTTGCAAATGATGTATTTTGGGCAGTCATCTTAGGAACTGAAGTTGTTAGAACATTTTTTGCATGTAATATTGATACAGTAGAACAAAACATCGCAGTATTGAAGGAATTACGGTACCCCGACATAGACAGTACTATGCATTGTATTTCCTAGTTTTTTGTTACAAGCTTTATATATAAATATCTCTTTAACCAAAAGAAAAAAGCCACAACTAATTTTTTCTTAAATAATCATATAAAAATAGTTAAGAGGCTACAAGTAAAATTGAGTGAGTTCATATTACAAATGAAATTGAGTTAGTTCATGCTCAAATGATCAAATGATAAATACTTATTCGTACTTTCTTAAATTAATGTAAATATTTGATACTAGTAAATTTCACTAATTCCAAATAGTTAAATGCCGGATCAACCAAACAGGGTGGGGTTAAATACCAGGGCTAAAAAGGAAGTCAAAGGATAAGTGAGTCCAGCGCGTGAGGAGTGGTACTTTCGTAAATTTAGTACAACCAAGGGGTAAAAGTCCACACTACAACAAGCCGCCCCCTATTAGACCCAAAAGTCCAGAACCCTTCACAAAATCGTCAATCTTCTCACTTTCCTGGCGTCTCGCAATTCTCCTCTTTTTCCCGGCGATTTCTCGCCGGCCGTCGTCGTCGTCGGGAGCTAAATCCCTTTCCTATCCCGTTCATAAAACCCCTTTTGAAAAACAACCCTAATTTCGACACAGTTCTTCCAAATAGCCATTCAGTTTTTCCCTGATACCGTTGACCCAACTTTTCAATTCACCAATTTCTTCACCGATCCACTGATTTCTTCAATGCCGATGGCATTTCTTCGCTTCTGTTAGGTTTTTTACAACTCTCCCCGTTAATTACCGAACCTACAATTCTCTACATCTTTCTCGGTTTATTACAATTTATACTTATGGCGATTCGATTCACCGTCACTTACTCCGGCTACTTAGCCCAAAACCTAGCTTCCTCGGCTTCTTCAAAAGTTGTGGGTTGCCGGTTCTTTCACGAATGTAGTACTACTATCCGATCTCGAATTTTTCATCCACCATCTCAAAAACCCGAATCAAATTACTCCGATTTTCGCCGATCCAAACCGAAACCCCGGCCGTTGAGTAGCACGTACTCGGCCCGGTCTTTTTCGTCCGGTTCAGTTTGTTCGTCTCTTGCTGCCGAATTCCTCAGTGAAAGTTGTTCAAAATCACCTTTGGTTGTTGGATTAATTTCGCTGATGAAGTCTTCTTGTGGGCCCTCTGCTACTATGAGTGTTTTGGGGATTTCGCCTTTGAAAGCGTCTTCAATACTTCCATTTTTTCAGGGCTCGAAATGGCTTCCTTGTAATGTGCCCAGTACTATTGGGTCCTCGGCTGCTCGGCCCGAGGTGGATAAGGGTGGAACTGAAAAAACTGAATGTGGTAATAAAAAGTTTGTTTGTTCGGAGCCTTTGGTTTCGAATGAATTGAAGGCTGTTTCGAATTCGAAGAGCTGTTGGTTGTCAAAGGTGTTGAACGTTTGTTCTGATGATGCAAAAGCTGCATTTACAGCATTGAGTGTGAGCATAATGTTTAAGTCATCTTTGGCTGAGCCAAGATCAATTCCATCTGCTTCCATGTCACCTACTCTCGATGTGGGTGACCGTATAATGGCTGAAAAGGTATATCTGTTATTCTTTCATTTAAGTCATCTTTTTGGATGTTTTTGAATTGTATTATCAGTGGTTATAATCATTGTTTTGCACCTGGGTTACTATAATGAATTTGAAGTTTGTTACTGTTTGATTTCTTTTTCATTTGTAAATGGCGGGACTAAATATGTGATGGGTGGTTATCAAGATCATTTGTGCCTGGAAAATGAAGTTTTTTAGGTGTTGTATTCTCGGGACGTTTGGTTCAATTGTGGGATAGACTGAGAGACAAGGATTCCCATGGGATTAGCTATCCCACCTTCTATATCGAATGGCTAATACCACCATTTTCGTATAAAATTTATATTGGTATTAGCTAATACCCATAACCAAACATGGGATAAATACAATTCCAATTCTATCCTAGGATTAGTATCCTTTTCCTGCTAACCAGACGACCCGTCAGAGTCTTACTAGTATTAGTTTACCCTTTACCTATAGAAAAAACTACTATTATTCGAACTGATAGTACTTTTCAACTGGTGTGTCAGGCGTATTTTATTAATTGATTGATTGAATATATTGGCAGAAAATGCTGAGCCTTACCACCTAACTAGGTTATGTTGGTCATTCAATGTTTTAGAGAAGAGCTGTTTTAGTTTCCTTACACCGTGGTAATTTTGTTAATCGGGTGATTATTCCGGTTTCCATTTTTGTTATCAATGATTTTATCGTGTAAAAAAAAAAAAGAGTCTGTCGTGTATCCAACTTCTGTGTGAGGGTTGTCCTAGTAGTGCCAAATAACCAATCCTCATTTGAGTACATGCTCCTTACGTGCTTGATAGATCAAATGCTCGTTGTGTTTATGATTAGTTTGGTCTTTATAACTGGTGCCTTATGTGCAACAGACATGTTTCCTACGATCACTATCTATGTCTGAGCAAATTTAACATGCTGGGGTTCTGAGCAAAGCATGTATACTCTGTCCTGATTGTTTACCAACCTTGTAAAAGCTTAGCGTGTGTAATGCTAGCTCTTCACTAATCATTATGCTTTCTGCCGCATTTCGTTTCAGGTTTCATATATTTTCCGGAAGCCTGAAGTTTCAGATATAGTGATATTTAGAGCCCCACCTATCCTTCAGGTATGTTAGAATTGTCTGGACTGTTTGTAGTGTGAGATTTTTGTTCTGCACATGCATTCAGCAGGTGGCAATTTTCTGTATCTTGCAGCATATTGGTTATAGTGCTGGAGATGTCTTTATTAAAAGAATTGTTGCAACAGCTGGGGACTATGTTGAAGTAAGTTCTTCTACTCTACCATGTTTTATGGAGTAGTTTTGTCAAGTCTGATGTCTTATTCAAGGATAATGTTTTATGCAGGTGCGTGGGGGTAAACTGTTTGTGAATGGTGTTGCTCAAGATGAAGACTTCATTTTAGAGCCCCTTGCATATGAAATGGAACCAGTGGTAATGCATTTATTCTCTTTATCTTTGAGGATGTCTACAATTTAATTTCATCAAAGATGTAATATTTGCTTGGTCATTTTATAGCTTGTCCCTGATGGCTATGTGTTCGTGATGGGGGACAATCGCAATAACAGCTTTGATTCTCATAACTGGTGAGCATAGAACGGTTTAATTTATTCAACAGAAAAACAACAATTCACTGCTAAAGAAGCGCTGTATTAGTATTCAACCTTTCCTTCTGTCTCTGCCTCTCTCCCTCCGCTCCCTTAAGACCAAACCTTTCATTCTCCTTTAATTAAGTATATAAAAGAGCCCCTTGTTGTGAATGTGATAATTCCATAGGAATCTCTTGTGCATTTTGGCCTAGGTAGGTGAAACAATTAAAATCAAGCAGATAGCACTGGTGTATTTTTTCATTTGTCTGTATGCAAAATTGGGATCTCATTAATCTGTATGCAAAATTTGTATCTCATTTATACTGTAATTTTTTCAGGGGTCCACTTCCCGTTGAGAACATTGTTGGTAGGTCAGTATTCAGATATTGGCCCCCATCCAAAGTGTCGGACACTCTGCATGGCTCAGTATTGGAGAAGAGAGTAGTTGCAGTTTCTTAACCCTTGGCCCCTTTGTTCTAAGTGGGGAGGAGTTCAACTGACTTCTTTCATCTCTTTATTCTTTTACTGGTCATTTTCTGCCTTTTGGCTCATTGGACCAGCTGTACAATCTTTTACTATTCCATCTAGTGTCGTTCGATACATAACATGAACCACTTTGAGGATGGATTGTCTTAATCCGCCGTGTTAGCTATTTTTTTCTCAAGGGCCCTATCTTGGGCGGTTTCTGCAATTTTATAAAGTCTCACAGATAAAGCTGTTCACTGGAATTTAGCAACTCAGGTGTGATGATCCGAAGGACGGTTGATTGGTGATGTTCTTGGAACTGGAACATTTTTCTTCTCTTTAACTTTGAAGTGGAGAACCGGACTGGGGTGACTCACTCGGTGCCTACGTAGATCCAGCAAAGTTCCAGCAGCAAATCGTGACAATTTTTTGAGGCTGGATGTGTTTAATATTTGCTTGTATTCGTGCTGAATGTAGTGAATTTTTGAAGTATGATTTCCATGTAACAATTTTCTCTGCTGTGTTCGAGGGCGGCTCCACCCCTAGGCCAATAAAGCTCTTGCTTTTGGTCCCAAAATTCAAATCCCCTAAAATTATTTGTATTAGCTATAAAAATTGTAATTCAAATATTACAATTCTTATAAGTAATTTGTTTTAACCGTTTGTTGTTAGCTTGTTATCAATCATTAATCACTTTATACCATTTATGGGGATTTGGTTGAGGTAATTATAGATCAAAGTGGTAACTAATTATAATTTTAGTCACTTCACGTTTCTTTCGTCATATTCGTTGAAACTTAATGAATCAATTTTGTTTACAACTTTTGCTTCGTTAAGTTTCTTCTTTTAAGGTCATAATAGACTCGTTTCAAGTCAACATTCCAACTCAGTGATGAGAAGCAAGAAGTGGAAGCGAAGATTGATGCTCAAGTCATTTCCAAAGGAGATAGTTTAAAGTATTTTGGGTCTATAATCTAAGGTAACGGGGAGATTGGCGAGGATGTTACTCACTGCATTGGAGCAAGTGGATGACATGGAGGCTAGTNGTGGTTAGATCGGCTATGTTGTATGGAGCCGAGTGTTGGCCCGTCAAGAAGTCCCATGTCTAGAAGATACAAGTAGTTGCAATGAGGATATTGAAATGGACGTGCGGACATATCAGGAAAGACAAGATTAGGAATGAAGTTATTAGGGACAAGGTTGGAGTGACATATGTGGAAGACAAGTTGCGGGAATCGAGGTTGCGATGGTTTGGGCATGTGAAGAGAGAAATAGATGCTCAAGTCAGGAGGTGTGAGGGCAGGTGCAGGCTAAAGAAGTATTGAAGAGAGGTGATTAGGCAGGACATATCATTCTTTCACCTACCCGAGGACATGACTCGCGATAGGAAGGTGTGGATGTCGAGGATTAAGGTGGTGGGTTGACAAGTAGTTGTGAGTTTCTCCTAGGTTTATCGATAAGTAATAGTACTATTCTTTTATTACTTGTTATGTCACTCGCTTCGATTACCTTATTATATTACTGTTGTTATTGCTTGTTGATTTATTTTTACCGTTCCTTAAACCGAAAGTCTATCGGAAACAATCTCTCTGTCTTTATTGGGTAGAGGTAAGGCTGTGTACACACTACTCTCCCCAGACCCTACGTATGAGATTAAGCTGGATTTTTTGTTGTTGTTGTTGTTGTTGTTGTTGTTGTTGTTGTTGTTGTTGTTGTTGTTGTTGTTGTAGTAGTTGTTGTTGTTGTTGTAATAGACTCGTTTCAAGCTGATCATATTTTGGCACACCACTCCATAAGTTGAAAGTAACCTTTTTTTCAGAAGTACTTTTGGAATTTTTGTCAAATACAAATTGCTTCTCCTAAAGTATTTTTTTCCGAATATTCTTGTGACAAAATCTTTTTCAAAATAACTAAATTTTGAAAGATTGGCATAAACTTTATTCTACTTTACAATGAAGCCTCAATAAACCATCCGGTAGAAGTATGCCTCATTTGATTATCTATCTAACTATTCACGAAGTTTAGACTACTATTTTGATTTGTATACTATATAAACAATAGTTGATTTTTTTATAAAAGAAATAGCTAAAATGTTATTTTGGAAACGAAAGTTTTACTTCAAAACTTAAATTATTAGATAGATAATCACGCACATATATTTTTAGGCTTAATGATCTAAAAGAATGACATGGTAGATGGAGAGTAATGTATTAAAACGTTGGCTATTAAATTTATATAACACTTGCAAGACAAATAATATTATATGTGAAGGCCGAGCTATTAATGTTCAATATATCTCTAGAATAAGTATTGCAAAGATGCAAATGTTAAGGTGATTGTGCAGTTATACAAGATTAAGAATGATTATATTTGATATAATGTGTGATCTAATAAAAAATAGGAAAGATCTATATAAGTGATATCAATAAGTTGAGATTAAAAAAACTTGGGATTAAATTTTAGTCATATAGTAAGTTCACATTATGTCCAATATTTATTAACAGTCTTTTATTGTATCAAAAATTTATATATCGATAAAATATACAGACAACTTCTCACTCTCTTTTTAAATTTTAGTTAATATAATATTGGTTGAAACGAGTTTTGATAGAGCAAAATAAGAGTCCGAAACTTTTTTTAATTATTTTTTGGACAAAAAACACTTTTGTATTACTTTAAAAAAAAGTTACATAAATGAGTAAAATGCAGTATTATACTGCGAATTACTTTAACAGAAATTTTGCCGTTAAAGTAATTCGCAGTATAGTACTGCGTTTTACTTAAAAAATTATTTTTTGTAATTCGCAGTACTATACTGCGTTTTACTAAGATACATTTGTAAAAAGCAGTATAATAATGCGTTTTACATTAAATAATTGCGTTGTACTCTGATTTTTGCCCCCACCAATAATGAACTGACATAACAATAATTCAATACATAAAACGTAGTATTGTACTGCGTTTTACATAGAAAAATTCTACACCCCAACGTCGGACTTGCCTTATTTAAAGGCGTTTCAATTTTATAAAAATTCATTCAATACTTTATTTCAAACTTACGTTCATACTTCTCTCTTCTTCTTATCAATTATTTTTTTACAATGTCTGAAGTGGCAAAAATAAGGGTTTCACTATATTGGGGGGGTGAGGTTGTGTTGGAGAATAACTCTGTGAGGTATAGCTCACCTCCACAATGTCATGTTAAATTGCCGCTTACTATGGAGTACGATAAATTGGTATCGTTGTTACGTAAAAAAATGAATGAGAGGAGGCGTTTGGTTAACCTTAAAATAACCGGTAGATTTCCGTATTCAGTGACTCCGCAGGGGTTTGCTTATTATTCTGAGTTTAACATCGAGGATGATGAAACTCTTAGAGATTTTTTGCTGATTCCGGATGAATATAGGGAATTTATTGTAATAAAATTATTGGAAATGTACGTCAAGGTGGAAGACGTTCCCAATAATGAGGGCATGCATAGTAGGGATAACCCCCAGTCATCGGGTGGTTATTCTGGAGCAGTTTTTGCCGGACAGATTGGTGATGAAAGAGCTTGCCTTGATTTAAACTTGTCACCACCGGCGAATGAGCAGCCACAAAATAATTTTTCGACTTTAGATAATCAACAAGACGACTGGTAAACTTCAATTTTACTACGCTTTAGCGATGTTTATTTTATGTTTTAATTGGATTTGTATTAACACTCATATTTTTCATAGGGGGTACCGTCCGGATATGAATTTTACAAGTTATGACCCCGCCCCTAGTTGGAATATGCGTAGTTCTGGAGTATTGGACCACGGTGGTCCATCTGGGAGTCATCACCAACAAGAAAATATCCATCATGAAACGTCAAGACAATACGACTTGTAAGTAAAGTGATATAGCTATATCTAAAGTATTTATCTAGTTGGGTAACTTATCATTTTGTTCTTTATGTGTAGTGAAAACGAGCTTCTTGAAGCTCCTGACCTCACACAGTTGCCCATAGACGACGTATTTACTCGTGATTTGGCAGATGCGCAGAGTCAGGAAGATGATAGTGATTATGACAACAATGCGGATGAGTCTGGGGATGACACACCCTTCCATGATGAGGGTGATGATGAGGAGGAAGTGAATGTTGAACCTGAGTTGACGAGGGAGCATGTTCCTCCACCTCCAGCTAGACCAAGAGTGTACGAGTCCCACGTGCCATTTCATGAGCGGAATATTCCCTACCTTGATAATTTGCCAAGCATGCCGAACGTGGATGCCCTCACAAGGGATGATGATGAATTTCGGTCAGCGATGTGGGATGAGTCTAGACCAGCTGTTCTGACAAAGGGCATGTATTTCCCCGATAAAGCTCGCCTAATTAGGGCTGTAAAAATCTACAGTATAAGAGAGTGCCGTGAGATGACGGTAAGTGAGTCAACTACGGAGAAATACAAGGTTGTATGCCGTAGAGACTTTATGGGTTGTCACTGGATGTTGCGTGCCACCAAGAAGAAATCAGGTTTGTGGAAAGTGGGTAAATTTATTAGCGAGCACAGATGTGAAATGGACACATACAATGAGAATCACTTCAACTTGGATGTGGACTTGATTTCTCTTGTCTTGATTCCATATTTGGAAGTGTCCATTAGGTTCAAGATTAAAGAGTGTATTACAGCCGTCCACCAGGAGTATGGTTGTACTATAACCAAAAGAAAGGCATATCTCGGTCGCAAACGTGCCTTTGAACTTATTTATGGCGACTGGGATAAGTCTTTTTCAAATCTGCCCAGGTACATGGCCGCACTGCAATACTTTAACCCCGGGACTGTTGTTGAATGGAGGCGTGAGCGGAGTTAGGACAGACCCAAATATATTTTCAACTATGTGTTCTGGTCATTTAAACCAATAATTGATGGTTTTGTGCATTGTCGTCCTGTTATTTCATAGACAGTACTCATGTCTATGGAAAGTATGATATTAAGCTTTTGATTGCAGTTGCAGTAGATGCCAACGGGCAAATGTTTCCACTAGCTTTTGCCATATGTGCCAACGAAAGTGAAGAGACATGGACGCTTTTTTTGAACCACTTGAAGCAGCACGTTGTCAAACAGCGTTCAGGTATTTGTCTAATATCTGATCGACATGGTGATATTTTAAGTTCTGTACGTCACTTGCCTGAATGGCAGGAACCATATGCATACCACCGTTACTGTGTGCATCACCTGAAAGCCAATTTCCAGAAGAAATATCCTGACAAGGCATTGCATGACTTAATGTGGCTGGCTGCAACTGAGCACCACAGTGCAAATTCACGAGGCGCATGGAAGCGATCCGGTAGTTAGAACCACGAGCCTATACTTGGTTGATGGGGCATGAGCTTCATATGTGGACATTGCATGCTGATGGCGGCAGACGATGGGGAGCCCTCACTACAAATGTGTCGTAGTCATTCAACGGCTTGTTGAAGTCTGCCCGTGGACTGTCTGTCACTGCCATGGTCCGCATGACATTCAAACAGAATGCGGAGAGGTTTGTTGAAAGGCATGCAGCTGCATCAGCATTGATGGACAGGAGTGTTCAATTTATGCCAATACCCATGAGAAGATTTGAAAGGTCCAGGAGGCGAGCACAGTGGCATTCATTTCTTCAGTACGATCATGAACGGGGTGTTTTTGAAGTTAAGACCGCTATC